CGACCAGGTGAGCAAAGACCGGCGCCGTCCACGAAGGGACGTGTTTTGCCCATAAGTGTGCAATTCAGCGGAGGGCCCAAACCCAAGACGCCAGAGCCATAACGCTGTTTGGGAAAGCCATCTTCGTCCTCGTCGGAATCCTCAACCAGCACGCCGCCAGTGTCGGACACCGAAGAAGAATCCTCTGCCGAAGAAGAATCCTCTGCCACATCCACAGCTGCACCTACAGAGCACGCTTCGCGACCCAACACACAGGAAATGACCATGCGCCGAAGAGAGATCCCCCACCGAAGGCGAGCGCAAGGGCATTGAGTGAGGCTGCTGTGAAGATGTAGACTGTAGGCGGGGCCCCGCCCCAGCAAACAGGGCCCCTGAAGACCATCAAATGTCGCTCTGATCCACGGTCGACTCAGCAAGCGCCTTCCTGTTGGGACATTCCTTCTTCCCGTGACCCTTCTCCAAGCAAATCTGGCAGACATGCACGAAGTTGCAACCGCCGGAGCACTTTCCATTGTTGAACTTGAAACAGATGCGCAGGCCATCACGCGTTTTCGTCTTCAAGAAAAATTTCTTCGTCTGGCTGTCCTTCTCCTTGCCCTTGCTCTTTCCTTTGCCTTTGCCCTTTCCCTTCGACCAAGAGAAAGGAGCTAAATCGCTGCCATCCGAAAGAAGGGAAGACATGAACTCCGTGGACGTGGTCAAAGGCATAAGGAAATGCAGATTCACCAGCTCTGAAGACTTGCATGCCAATTCTAAACCTTGAGACAAAGTAGCCGCATCGCCATCACGTACAAGCTGATACGCCTTCTTGCGAGCTTCTTGCTCAAAGGCGAGCACCAACTTCCACGCAGGTACCCGGGCCACACCTTGTAGCATGAGAGGACAACCTGCAATGTGCTTGCCCAAGATGAAATCGGTGAAACGCCGGAACGCCTCGACCACATCATCCGTGAGCCAGGAGACATTGCGACGCTTGCTTCGACACATCAACCAGGCCACAACAATGAGGCGATGCCGATGACGGAGCTCTTCCGCGCAACTGGGGAGGGGCACACTTGCCTTGCCTGGGCGTATGCGTAAGTTGCCCGTGCCATGCTCAATAATACCGGAGAATAGATCCACATCTTTGTCCTCTAGGCACAGGACCTCACGGAGGTCCTCTGCTTGAAGATCTCCTTGTTCCAACTGCTCCAACTTTGCAGCCACCAAGGACTTGGCACGAACTTCGCTATCACGCAGTTTGCCACACACGGCCTCCACCTCCTTGCGCATAGCAGACATGGCCGAAATTTGAACGACACGTTGGGATTGCCCCAAACGGCTCTCCAGGCGCATCTTGTCCTCTGCTTCCACCTGCGTGCGAGCCGACTCCCAAGCCGACAAGATCAGAGCCATAGCTTTGCGCGAGGCAGTGTCCGCATCGTGCTCCAGACCTATCTCTGTCGTCACAGCCTTGCGGACCTCCAGACGAGTCTCGTCCAGACCGCAGAACAGACGCAGGGTGTTGAAGCCCTTGTGGAAGAGAGCTGCCTGAACATCGTCCGGCACTCCAACTTCGCAGAGATGGAACTTCAGATCGGAAGATGCCGCATCAATAGCTGCAGCATGCTCTGCCGCCGTCAGGGACAACATCGGCAAAAGCGAGAAAGCACAACAAGCCTTGTACGCCCTAGCACGTCACAACGCCGGCAGCTTGCTGGCACCTTCAACAGCTAGAGCAAAGCCGTGCAACAACGTGCAACGAAAGCAAATGCAAGATGCGGCCAAAACATGCACAACATGCCCCTTGCAAGCTGGTTAGCATAACCACGCCGCCATGCAGGAAACAGGCAGGCCCATCCTCAATGCCTTTCTGCCAATTCATGGCAGAAACGAATCCACCGCAAGACGCGATCCTGCGCCTTGTCCGACAGCGCAGCATGCGCGGAGAAGCTCTACCACAGCCGAAGTTTACTACACCGCAGGCTTGGCTGCAAAGAAAGGAAGGACGCAAACTAAGTGACAAGGTCGTCGTCTGTACTTTCCGATGAGCTGGAAGAAGACTCAGCGACCACACCATCCTTCCAGCAGTGCTTGCACGCCGCATCGTACACAACACCTTCGAGATCATCAAAGGCTTCAAAGTTCAGAGTGTTGTGCATGGGTACCGTGCCGCAACCGCCCCATCTGTGCAGACGCCGTAGGCGCCGGTTCTTTGTGATGCACACAAAGTACTTTGCCACTGCCTCTTCCCCGACCTCCGCAACCTCCGGGTCGCCGACAGCAGCAACATCAACCTCCGGCTGAAGCAAATTTTCTGGCAGATCAGTGGCATCATTATGTACTAGCGGCAGGCCACCCTGCGACAGGGGGACGCCCTGCCGCCAAGCTGAAGTCGGTGGTCGAAGCAATTCAAGTTGTTGGGACACGTCCACCCTAGACTCGCCGCACGCTTGCAGATGGAGTTCCAAATCGCGGAGACCAATGTCACGAATAGACCACTCAGAATCTTCCAGGACACAGGACACAACGCGGCGCTGCAGGCGGCTGACAATGTGTTGCGCTGTGCGGACGTACTCGTCACTGCACACCACCACTCGCCAACGGCCGAGAAAGTCGCGCTGCTCGCGTGTAACACCGAGCAGTGCAGCCACACTTGTCAACCAGCAACGCTCGCTATGTTCAGACCACGCCCTGCACGCAGACGCTGTCACTGTTGGGTCAATACTGGAAGAGGCAACTCCTTGTATAACAGCATTGAAAGAGCTGACACCGCCGGGTAATCAGCCATGCAGCGGCGGCAGGACTGGCCATCAGCGGAAGGCAGGGGAATCAAGTAGTCGCGGTCAAAATTCATGCCGTCCTGTTGCCAAAGATGAAAACCAACCTCAAGCCAAGGTGCGCCGCTGAAAGAAGCTTCTCGATCTACGAAAATGGGTAACCACTTCACGCGCTTGCCCGGACCAGTCGTTTTTGTGCTACGCAGCACAGCAGACAAGCCACGACGGTCAAGGGTCATGCTGGATGGAATGAGGCCTGCCAAGTCGTCGCTCCCGCACGAGGACCAGAACTTCACGAGTTTGGCCCAGGCCAGCGCCCTAGAGAAACGCGGTGCATCGCCCTTGACAACCCACAATTCAAGCGCGATAAGAAGCAGTAACGGTTGCGGGCGAGCTTTCCGTGGGGGTGGAGCCTCGCTCTCTAGCTGAGCAGAAATTTGCGCAGCCGACTTCTTTACTAAAGGGTGAGCGCAAAGAAGGTCAGTGCCGGGTACACCAGCAGCTTTCTCCATGTAAGCCAGCGTGCTCATGAACGCATCCGGCACGGATTTGCCGCAAGGCTGCGCTGCCAAATCTTGCAGGAAGTCCAGGATCATGCAAGGACGTGTAGGCCATGTGGAGTCATACGCAGCGGACAGCCACTTTATAAAGCGGTGCCACATCTGGACATGCTTCTTCAAGGTCCTAAACCTTGAAGAGCCTGCAAGGCGCACAGCGCACTGCTGTAAGTCTTTGGATTCTGCCACGTCAACCAAGGCCGGTGCGTTGGCATCGATCAGGATCTGCGCGAACTTCAATCGCCAACGCTGAGTCTGTTCCAGCTCAACGGCGGCCCGGCTGCCAGCAGGCAAAACCCTGGCACGAGGCCAAGCAGGAGCCTTTCGCTTGCGGGCGCCGGAAGAAGACAGCAGCCACTGGAGGGATCCGACCGGACGTGCCGACGCCACCCCACCGCTGACGGTAGCTTGGGCACGCTTGATAATAGCACAAGATTGTAGCGCCCTGTCCATGGCCGCACGTCGCTTCCGTCTGAGGCGCGCGAGGTCGGATACCCGCGCTTGCAAGCATTTTAAAACGCAAACACAATGTGACAGGTCCGACGCGCAGTCAATGTGCGGGGAGAGAAGAGCAGCTCTGTCTTCATCATCAAGGCAAGCGCAGTCAAGAACCTCAGCCTCCAGAAATTGACCTTGGTCTGATAATTCTCGACGAGCTCCGAGGGGAAGACGCTCCCACATAACCGATAATGGCTCAGATTCGCTGAAGTCACCGCCGCAATCGGACAATTCAGTAGAAGCGGAAGACATGCCAAGCACTGCACGAAAAGAGACGACACTGCATGCAGTGGCCAGCAGTGCTGGCAGCCAACACACATGCAGACAATCAAAGAGCCTGCAGAAGCAGCAACTTGCGAGGACACGAGTGAACACGCAAGCCAAGAGAACACACGACACGACACGCGAGTGCAACCTTTGCACACGCAAGAAGCCTAAACACGCACTCCCTCGCACTTGTCCCCCTACGATGGACAAGTCCACTCCACAGCTGCAATAGCAAAACACCGGCAAAGTCCTGGCCTCTGTCACCACCGCATAATTCAAACGCCATTGGCTCACCCTCTCGCCTATAGCACGACGAGGTCGCCCACCTCATACCCTTCTACTTCTTGCCCCTCCTCCGTCGTGCCCTGCATCGCTTGGAGCAATTTGGTGAACTCCACCGCCGCCGCCATGGCCTCCTCCATCGTTTGTGGCTTCTTGCGCTCTGCAAGCAGCTTTTCAAGAGCCTCCTCCTTTGTCGGCAGGATTTCTGGCCTCCTACGGTGTGGCATCTGATGTCCTCCTCCACGCAAGGCTCACGTCTTGAAAGTCAAACTGAACATATAGAGTGAAGACGATTCAGACCATCTGTGGAAACTCTGCTCGAGCAGCCACTCCCATTACCCAAGTCCAGTTTCAAGTTGCTTTCTCCTCCGCTGATGTCTGTGGACAGGCTGGGCATGCGAGTGAAAGCGGAGGGGGTGACACTGCAACGCAACATTTCGAAGAGCTTGTGCCTTTGGCAACCTGCCGCTTGACAATCAAAAGCTCCCAGTGAGGCCGGTGCCCGGAGGAGCTTCAAGCATCTCAGATTGCACAATGCCTGGGCAATGCAGCGGTTGTTACTTCTGCCCAGAAGTCGCAAGGCTGTGTAATGCGGCCTCCGGCTCGCTCTGCCGATCTCTGCCGACAGAAAGCGGGGTCATCTTCGTGTAGCCTCTCGAAGCCTCGGTGCTCAGCTTGCAGCTGCGGCGAAGGGCAAGCCGCAATCGCCCTACTGGGCAGCTGGGCCTCGCCTACAGCACTGCCTCACACAGAACTCCCACAAGACTCTGAGCATCGAGCTCTACGAGGTCTTCGACCGGGAAATGCACAGACCTCATGCACGGACTCGCAGAGGCAGAACCCTCTTTCAAGGGAAGCTACGGCAACGGGTCTCGGCCCCTGGCTCACTTGCGGGGAACTCGACGTTGACCACGAGCTCCACGTCCTCGCCCCTGCTCATGGAGGCAGAGTCAGAAGTATGATGCGGGGGAAGAACAAAACCCTATCGTGGCAGCCTCTGAACGAAGAGCGGAAACTCCTTGTGGCGGGCATCCAGTGCAACCTGTCCACGCCGCCCTGCATGCCTCGTTGCAGAAAGCACTGACACCGTTCCGTGCATATCACACAAGCACCTGCAGTCAGCTTTGCTCTCCCCATCCGACTGAGATTTCCCCCAATCTGCAGCACTGCTCTGGTGCAGCTGCACCACTTCCCGGTGCTCAACTGCGAGACGCGGACCTTCTGATGCAGCCGCCCAGCCCTGGACTCCAGCGTGACATTGCACGGGCTGGGCCAAGCCACGTCGACCACCGTTCGCCGGTCGTCCCGCAGCACCATGACCGTGAGGCGCGCCTCGCTCACCTGCGCACTTAGGACCGGTCTGAGATGTGAGCTGCAATAGCAAAACACCGGCAAAGTCCTGGCCTCTGCCACCACCACATAATTCAAACGCCATTGGCTCACCCTCTCGCCTAGCACGACGAGGTCGCCCACCTCAGACCCTTCTACTTCTTGCCCCTCCTCCGTCGTGCCCTGCATCGCTTGGAGCAATTTGGTGAGCTGCACCGCCTCCGCCATGGCCTCCTTTATCGTTTGTGGCTTCTTGCGCTCTGCAAGCAGCTTTTCAAAAGCCTCCTCCTTTGTCGGCAGGATTTCTGGCCTCGCTGGCCGCTCCTGCCCCTCCTGGCGCTCCTGGTGCTCCTCCTCCAACCGCTCGCGCAAGCCGCAGCAAACGCCGCCCATGACCACACAAGAGCGCGCACTGGAACGGATTTGTTTGGGCATCCGCCTGCGGTGTGGCATCTGATGTCCTCCTCCGCGCAAGGCTCACGTCTTGAAAGTCAAACTGTATAGAGTGAAGACGACGCAGACCATCTGTAGAAACTCTGCTTGAGCAGCCACTCCCATTCCCCAAGTCCAGTTTCAAGTTGCTTTCTCCTCCGCTGATGTCTGTAGACAGGCTGGGCATGCGAGTGAAAGCGGAAGGGGTGACACTGCGTCGCGACATTTCGAAGAGGTTGTGCCTTTGGCAACCTGCCGCTTGGCAATCAAAAGGCACCAACGAGGCCGGTGCCCGGAGGAGCTTCAACCATCTCGGATTGCACAATGCCTGGGCAATGCAGCGGTTGTGACTTTTGCCAAGAAGTCGCAAGAGTCTCATCAGTTGCTCTGCAGTTCCATCTCCGGATCTTGTCTTTGATGTTCACACACAGCCAACGAAGAGGAGACTTAGAGAATGTAAACAAGTTTGCCTGGCTCATTTCAGCAAAGTGTTCTCGAACATATCGTGAAGACCTGAACTTGTAAGTTCGGTTGACAACACGATGCTGGTGCAAGTAGTTGCGGGGGTTCTTCTCTGCGCTTCACCTGTCAATGTTTCAATACTTTTGCATCTAATCGCCCATACCTCTAGCATTAATTGCCGTGCGACAGTATTGAAAGCTTATGCACCATAGCTTTTGATGATGTTTTGCAAGGTACCAGCACCGACAGGCACGTATGAACTCATCCTTCAGACTCGGCACGCAGCTCTTCCAAAGCATCCTATCGCATGCTATGTGCATGTACTATCGAGGCCATGAGTCTCTCAAAGACTAACTTTGTTGAAGCACCCCCTCTTGGCTCGTGGCTCGTAAACAAACAGGTAGGCAGCCGGCAAACTCAGTACCTGCCAAAGTCCGTGGGCCCACACTCTTCGCGCCCTACAGTAAGCAGCCACGGCTTTTGTGCCTGCCAGAGTTTTGTTTCGAAGACACGGTCGTCATCGGCACAGACCTTGGGCAATCAAAGAATCGGCCACTCTAAACCCATTCCGTTGGGGCCAGGCGATACAGCAAATATTTCTGCCCACGGTTGCACGACGCTCTTTTCACGCATGCTTCACCACAGCTCATCACACATCCGCATCTCACTCATGTCTGGCTCGCAAAGGTCTTTGCCTCAAGTGCACCATGTCGTACAACAACAGCAACATCAAAGACCGAAGCCGCCCGCCTGATCCAGCATCAATGCCTGGCAAAAGCATCCATGGAGTTCTACCAAGGTGCATACCCAGCCGCTGAGACTGATTGCTTCGGAGCCACAGCGCTGTCATCATCGGGAAAGTGGCTGAGGTGCAGCACCAACGCCTCTGATGCCTCCTTTGCGAATCTGCCGAAATCCCAGCCCGTAGCTACATCGCACTCAGTCTGCTGCCTTCCAGCGCTGCTGCTTACCCAACAGCTGCGCCAAAGAGACACCTGGAATCCAGCAACCGTGTTTCTCGCAGTGTACCGTGGGCCGCTATGGCACAATGCATGGCACAAGCTCCGCACTTGACCTGGCCTACACCAGCTTCCGGTGCTTTCCGCAAACCTGCTGCAAGGAGGTCCGAGGCTCTCTTCGCCTCAGCCGCCACAAGAGCCCCAAAGGCCTGAAGTGCTTCAACGCTCTTTCGACATCACCTGGCGGTTTGACTCCTATGCCACTGAAAGGCAGCCAATCACCTAAATCCACGAATGCAAACCGAAAGGTGTGTCTGTACACCCTAAACCCTACAATTATTTCCACTGAAAGACATCCTTCTTCACGGTGAAGAGAACGTCCGCGAGGCGCTTCAGGAGAGCCGTGGCCAGGATTGCCTCGTCGCTGTGTGCCTGCGCAGCCTCAGGGGTCAAGCGGACTCTAGGATGAACCTATAAGACAACCTTTACTATGTTGAAATGATGTACTATGAAGTTAAATGGCATGATATATCTGTATGTTCGACAAGCTACAACATACGAAAATATACTATAAGATGCTGTAGTTTAACATCATGTAACTCGCTATACTGTACTGCAATATACTGTGACATACTGTAACTCACTATAAATGCGATAATGCAATGAAATGTAATGTCACATTTGTCTGCTCTCAGAGGCAAGAGGACCTTCAGAAACTTCATCACTTTCCCGCGAACGGACTTGAACGCCTCCTGCTCTGAGATGCTGCTGCAGGAGGTGAGAAAGATGAAACAAAAGGACATGATAAAATGCTAGCTAAAAGGCACAGGCTGTAGGTCCTTGGCATCTGCAGAGACTTGCCAGTATGGTGTTAAGTGTCCTCGGCTGAAACACATAAAAAAGGGTTGCACCGCTCATGGCGCATGCCTGCCACAACTCATGCTGCACAGGAACGCAGGAAGCCAACAGGGAATCCTCCTGTGACTTCTTCCGCCTGCTGGAAAAGCTCCTGAGACTCCAGGGCAAAACGGGGCCGCAGGCTCACACAGGTGCAGCATCCTTGTATCGAGCAGGCTGCTTCTTCGGGCTCAGCCTTGGCTGAACTGAGGGTTGGTGTCTTGAAAAGAGTTGGAGTTGGAGCCTTACCCTAGCAAAGCCAAGGCGCCTCTCTGCGCTGATTAAGTTCTTGTAGAGGCACCAGTAATCGAAGCCATGAACACAAATATCGCTGGAGGAAACTGTACGTTGCCAGGCCACCCCCAGCGTCCTGAGGCCCAGGGAATCGGGTACAACATCTGCTTCTGGGCTGACCCAGCGTGCCCAACCGCTGTAATTGCAGAAAACAGTGGGTGGTACGTGTTTCTGCTGCGCAGGAGACTCCAACAAGTAAGCATGCAACAGCATTAGATAAACCTGTCGCAACTGCAAACCTCAGGATTCCATAAACGGTGCCCGTGCCCCCAATGCTCGCCTCGGCCCCTGCCGAAGTGGTCAGGAATCTCCTCTTGCCCCTCCTCTTAATCCCCTTTCCCTTTGCACCTGACCCCCCTTCCTGGCTCTGGACCATTCACTGGCCCCAAGGCCACCCCCACACCGCCTGCACCAATGCAAAACAGCCGAGCAACCCTCTTCACTTGCAGCCGGGCCGAGGCGGACGACGCGAAGCGTCTAAAGTTAGTTATCTGGAAAATTTGAGTCTACCAAAACAAATGGGAAAACAATACGAAATAAATAGATTGTGTCGAGAACGAATCATTGTCTGTGCTTTTTCTGTTTATGCAATCGAAACTGAGGGGGGTGTCGCATTGAAATCCTATTTACATTGTATTTACATTGTTCTCCTACTTCTGAACGTCCTGAATGTCTATTGATTCCTGTCTTCTAGCTGTACTACACGTCATGTTTATGACATGTTATAATATACCATGTCAGATCATCGTATGTTACAGATGTTGTAGTATAATGTAGATTTATTGTGTTCATGCAGCTGCGCTTCGACTCGACATTGATTGTGGCATGCGACCAGCCGTCTGGCACGAAGATCGCATCCCCAGCTTTCTGCACGCACGTTAGTGGAGGTGAGTCCAAGTTTGGCAGGATATCGGTTTCAAACGTGGAAACCGGGCGATGAAGCTCGCGAGCAGTCATGTTGGGAAAGTGCCCTGGCGCATGCATGTACCAACCTCAGTCATCACAGGATATCATGACAGGCAAAGTGGTACCACCTCACCTTGCAGTATCTTGCAGTATCCTCACATTGGAAAACTGTTAGCCAAGCAGCGCTTTGTTCCGGAAGCGAGCAAGAGGAATGCCGGGCCGTGTGAGTGGAACTGTGTTCCAGCCAGTGGCCCACCCATAGTCAGGAATTTGTCCGCTGAGTCCATCTTCAGCCATTCCTTTTACTCCCAAAGAATCGCACGACTGTGACAGTCGTCAGAAGCACCTCCCACAGAACTGCAGAGAAACTGCAGGAAAGTGTCCGGAATCGGTGCCAGCTCCTTGGCCGAGATATTCTGAAAGAACTGATTGTCAAAGACGTAGATCTTCTGCCTAAGCTAAGATTTTTTGTGTGTGCGTGTGCGCTCGAGTGCGCGTGTGTGTGCGTGTGCGTGTGGGTGGGTG